TTTGATTCCTTGTTGTGCAAATATAACCTTAAATGTGATCATTATTCTATTTGCAGTAAATTGAATTAAAAAAAAAACACAAAAAAAAAAAAAATCCGTCCGTCCGTTCCTAATTTTGAAATCCATGTAATGCAAAACGAAAAATCATCTTTGTGTGGCCTAATAAATTCAGAAATTATTAGCGAAGTTATTTTTATTCTTTATTTATTATATTTTGAAAAGTAATTAAAATAATTTTTAGTCATTGCGATCTTTATTAGAAACGCGACATGACCCTTAGCCCATATAATTAATGAAACAATAAACTTATACATAATATCGACCTACTACTTAACCTAAAGTACACTTACTAATCTAATAGTTTAACTCTATTATATTTGGAATCCGCAAAATATAAGCATTAGTACGAACCTATTATTTAGAATAGAATGTCAAATGGTATACACAAAGTTCTTAAAGTTTGACTTACATGTAACGTCTCAATCTTCTTTTTTTGGGAAGAGTTAACCCAGTAATCATCACAATATCACATGACCATCATTCGGCCTAAGTTAGGGTTAGGTTAGGGTTAGTTTAGGGTTAATTTAGGTTATAGTTTAGGCCAGTTTATTTAATTCTTGTAAACAAATGACGTCATGATATGTTTATCAAATGATTGTCAATCACTGGGTTAACTGTCCCTTTTTTTTTGCTGACCGTTTTAGCATTTAGAACTCTAATACTATATAACCAGTACTAGCAATGAATAGTAAAATATTTGCTCCTAAGTGAAATTCTTGGAAATGTGTATTATTTTGGACTAATTTCAATATAAAATAGGGCGTTCTATAATCTTTCTTTTTTTTGAGTCGATTTGATTGGTAAGTTCAGAGTAATCACGAGAATACTAAAAAATTTTTTAAGCTACCGATCATCATTTCTAAATTTAGATTGTCTGTCATGCTTGTTCGAGTAAAACTTTATATCGATCGATATATCTAGTTTAGCAATAGTCGAACATCTTTTCCTTGGAGAAATCTGATCATGATTCTTAAAAATTTCGATAGACAGGGTTTAACATAAAATGGTACGCATTATAAGAAATTTTGTTAGGCACGAAAGGTTATAGAAAAAAAGTTTAATTATTTATGCGATAGCTAATTAGCATGTTATTATATCATGTGATTGGTCATATGATAGGGTATGCCTTTGAATTGGCATGCTTAGGCAAACTTACCCCAACCTTACTTTTAATATAATATTACAATTTATATAAATAATAACGATTTATATTATTATATTTGTAATTTATTTATAAAAATTTGAACTTGTATTTAAGCGCAAAAATTTTTAAAAATTTATTAACGCTAATAAAGTTTATAGAATATTGATTTATTTAAAATATTTAATAATTTCAAGTTTAACTAGTAAATTTATAATCAACTACAGATTTTACCAATTTTATAGCTTAAAAAAATTATTTATACTTATAATTCAAATTCTAATCAATATAATAATTATATATACAATAAATATACTAATAAAATAATGGTTGACCTAAAAAATAGTCCACATAAAGATTTAATTTAAACCTATCATAAATACCATATAGACAATTTTTTTAATTACTATATTATTAATACTTTGCAAATTAATTTAAGGAAGTATTCCTTTTATAAAATCGATACCTTGTCCGTTAGAACTTGTTTGTGAAATTTGTAAAATTTGTGAGACATAACTAATACCATCATTAAATATGTCTTCATACAGTTGTTCAGTAGTTTAAGTTGTATAAATAGTTAGCATAGACATTGATGAATGTGAAGTCAAGATGGTAATAATTTGGCCCACAATGGTTTGGTATTGCATTTTAATTTTACTTTCTTCTTCTTCAGAAGTCATCAAAATCTCCAAGTTTCTTGACTCTGGATTTGATAACAAGCATATACACATTTTCTATGGTAGGCTGTATATTTTTTATCCTTAAAGTTTTGAGCTAGGTCTTCAGAATCGACCTCTTGAGGAGAAATTGAAAGGTCCTTTTCCATTAGAAGAAAGATTTCACAACTAAATTCTTCAGGTTTCGTCTTACAAAAAGGACAAAAAAAAAAAAAAAAGAACGATTGAAATGAAGGGACACTTGAAGAACAGTTAACCCAGTGATCGACGATCACATGATAAACATATAATGACGTCATTTGTTTACCAGAATTAAAACGAACTGGCCTAAATATACCCCTAACCTAACCCTAACCTAACCCTAACTTAGGCCGAACACATGTCATGTGATGTTGTGATGATCACCGGGTTAACTCTTCTTCAATATACCCGAAATGAAATCCAATAATACTTAAAGTGATTCGTTGAAATGAGCACCACCGATCTTAGGCCCTTCAGTCTAAAGTTGACCCACAAAAAAAAAAGGTCCAGGCTAAGTCGATTCAAAAAACTGACTCAAATTCGGATCGAACTTTTAACATCAGAAACTTGATCTTTTTACTTTTTATACAATTAACTCTATTTTTTCTAAAAACTAAAGTATCCTTTACGATTTTTCATAATGCAATAGCTACGTTATTAACATTTGCTTTTTTTTTATCATAAGAAAAAAGAAATTATTGTTACTTTGACTTTTTTCGAGATTTTTACGCAACACGATATTAACTAAATTAACCAATATTCTCTATCCGTATTACTTTAACTGAATAGTTACTTCCAGTTTCTCTCGTCTGACAAACAGGAATTTAGTTAACTTAGTGGTTTTAAAATTTTAACAATACGTTAATATAACCAATATAAAATCGTAAATTGATGGATTCACGTGGAAAAGGCTGAATAATGACAGATAGACACTCGTCTTTAGTACCGTAAAATCGCTGTGTACAAGACCCATGATAGTAGACCCACCACGTAGTATACCTGGATGCGAATCACGGGATCTATATTAATTAAACGTTTTTTTTTCAAATATCATATCTGGATTGCCTATTATAAATGCAAAACGTGCATACTCTTCAAAATTTTCCGCTGTATACTAGGCCCGGTCTATTATTTAAAATTGGTGCAAGAGACTCGGGTCTTGTGTACGGCAATTTACGGTAATATAGATTACCACAAATGATAATGTGTTCCATATATGCATACTACTAAATATGCACTACTTTTTGTATCAGTGAAAAGTGAAAGAATTCTTTGTTAAGGATGGGATAATTTCATATAATATCAGCCAATCAGATTGCGAAACGAGAAAAAGGGTTAAAATCCGAATATACAAAAATAGATCTAAACCTACTTTTGAGCATTAGTAAAAAAATGTCGGAAGGCAATTTTGCATGCCCTAATTTTGAACACTAAATTTAATTTAATTTTAACTAAAGTGAATTTACCACACTTTAGCGATTCCCACTCTTGGAAAATTGTACCCACAGTAAAAACACTCAAATTTACAGGGATTATTGCGTAATTACTGTAGCGTGATCTATTAGAAGAATATTATTGACAATTCATGCATTTTATAATATACATGTTCCAGCGAAAAAATCGATCCAGTGGAACTTTTCACCGGAATCACTGGAACACTGCACAATAAAAACTGGCATACATGTTAAGAGGTACACCTGATCCAGGTTCTCGAACGTTAATTGGATCAACGGCAAGCCCATACTTGACAAATACCTTATTAAACCATGGGTGCCTAGCGCTTGATCTCCAGAACACATAGTCACCTTTCTTAACAGCTCTTGCTAGCTGCTTAATCTCTTCCCCTGCCTCACTTTCTGAAAACAAATCTATGTTATCCATTAAGACAGCTTTCGTTAACTCTTTATCATTTAAACCTTTCAAAACATCAACAATATAATTGATATGAATTCTAATACTGTCTAAAGCACCTCTCTTTAATGCATCAAACCCAGATTGTGTTAAATAAGATGGACATGATTCAAAATTATAATGTAACATGAGGCAGAGGAAATAAAAATAACCATCAATAGAAAGCTTGTAGTGAGTAATGACGCTGTCGAAAGTATCGCACATATATTGGTAAGCAGTGCCTTCACTAAGAAGCATTTTCCATTGTCGAATTGGAACACCCAAAGCTTTCCATAGGAA